GTTCTTCTCTATAAAAACTCAGGTCGTATTTTTTTTTAAATGTTGTACATATTTATAATAATGCAATTTCATTTAAATTCAAATTTGGTAGAATAGAGTGACCACCAGCATATGCTATTGAAAAAAAATCAAAAAATCTAATCAGTGATCGCAACCTGAACAGACCAGTCCCCACAAGCAGCACCCGTTCACGAGTATGAGGGCTGAGCCCGCCATCATTGCACTCAACCATATTAGAGGGAGCACATCGACCCGACCCACCACGCCACAAGTTTGAACTTTATAGCGAGCATGACTGTTTCAAGTTACTTCACTACGTCATTTATATTATTTACAGCATAAACTGTACCAATCAAAGTTTTAATCCATTAAAATATTTAATTTACATTATTTAAATTACAATATGTCATTACTAAATTTAGAATAAGTTTCTTTAGTGTTTATTGAACATCCATCCATACTCACAAACTTTAGCGTTTATACTATAATATTAGTAAGATTTCTTCATCACTTTTAGTAGATGAATGAATCCATACAACTTATTTTTTTTTTCGTGAACTGAGTGTAACTTGCTCACCTATTTCTGTCTTAAAGCAACTCACTATATAAGCTGTATTTTAATTTATAGAATGAGATGTATCAATGACATTAGAGCAAATTAGGCATGACATTTTAGTCCTTAGGCATGCTATGTACCATCGTAATATGTAAAAAAATGAAACTGCACGAAGATAACACGTGTGTCATAGACGAGGTGTCCGTTGTGCTGTTCATATAAATAGGCGACGATTACCACATACCATCAGATGGGCAGTCAGCTTGTTTACCATTCTAATTACATAAAGAAATGGTGATATTTACCACTTCTCGTCACTTATTCACCATAAACTAACATGTTACCAATTTCTTATAAATAATGATTTGATGTTTGCTGTGCTGTTCATGTATATTGACGACGGTTACTGCTTACCATCCGGTGAGCCCTCACTTGTTTACCATTCCATTACATACCATTACACAAAAGGGGTTGTTATATAGATGACTAGCTGTGCCCGCGACTTCGTTCGCAAGGAATAGAGGATGAATGAGGAATTTCCATTTCATCCCCTATTTTATTTTACCCCCTTAAGGGTATAAGTGTCAAGCTTTAAAAATGACGATATTTCCATAGAACGTTTCATCTCCCCTTTCAACCCCTACAACCCTGTCTTCGCATTAAAAAGTAGCCTAAGTCCTTTCTCTGGGTCTAGACTATTTCTGTACCAAATTTCATGTAAATCGGTGCAGTAGTCGTGAAAGCGAGACAGACAGACAGAGTTACTAACGCCTTTACAATATTAGTAAGTACACAGATAACAATATTACATAAAGGATAAAAATATTTACCAATTAATTGACCATTCCAATTATCTAAATAAATTTTTTGATATATAGGTTATATTTACCTCCCACCACTTATTATAGTTTACCATAAACAAACTTATGAATGATCTAATTTATATATAATTGGCACACAACACACTCTAACCTCACGTTCCATAAATCATTTATCAGATAATTGTTATAAAATGATAGGAAGCCGATATACTTAAGTTTAAAGGTCAAAGAAGAGTTTCACTTGCAAGGTCAACTATTAGGGGCATTAGGTGTCCATACTTGCAATTAATGGGAGCATTCAAATCGGTTTTATTTTGTATGAGTGTTATGCCATAGTGAAGCAGAATTAAAAAAAAAATTAAAAATATCCTATGACTATATCAATTTGTTCATAAGCTGCATAATATATAGTTCTATACTATATATTTTCTTATTAACTTTATACTATTCTGAATAATTAACACACCGCCATCTACTCACTGTATGGGTACTGGTAGAGCTTGTGTTATGGGTACTAGATAGCGCGAGGTAACAGATTGAGCTGGTATGGGCATGTTATGCGGAGGAATGAGGACCATGTCTTATGGAAAGTGTATAATATGAATGTAGATGGATGTAAAGGGAGGGGACGCCCTAAGAAAAGATGGATGGATTGTGTGAAAGATGATATGAATATAAGAAGAAGTATGATTTATACTGATCGTGGAAGAGAATTTTATGATGAAATAGACACTATTTTTATATAAATAATAATAATAATAATCTCAGGACAATTCACACAGCCGCCATCTAGAACCAAGTTAAGATAGCTAAAGCTTATGTTATGGGTACTAGATAACTGATACAAATATATATATTTTTTTCGTAAATACATACATATTGTACATAGAAAACACCCAGACCGGTACAAACAAACATACTCATGAATATAAATGTTTGCACCGTGCGAGGAATCGAACCCGCGACCATCGGAAGTAAAGCGGTGTGCTAAACCGCTAAACCATCGAAGCCGTAATATGCAAAGCTAAAAATTTTTTTCATGTAAGATTTACACCAAATGTAAAAACTGTAACAAATGAATTCATTTAAAAAAAAACTTGATAAATTTACACTGTGTGATACAAATAATGATAATTTTTAATATAATCTGGATCTTAGAGATACCGAAACTTGCAATACTAGTCCAGTAATCGGTAGTCAGTTGATTCGTAATAAAAAAATAATTATTTCTTAAATATGTAATTACTATACTTTTTAATTTTTATTATGTACTTATGTGGGTATAAAAAAACGATCATATTAAGTAGATCCTTCTATTAGTTTATAGCTACTATCAGTGGATCAAAAAGGCGAGATATATCGGATAAAATGACTCTCTTTGTAATTGGCGCTTTTGTGGATGGAACTGGTCTATATTATATTTATATATACCTATATAAAAGTTGTTAAAGTAGGTATATATACTTTATTTTTAAATATAATGTTAACAATAGTTTAATTATAAAATTAATTGTCATAATAATAATGTCTTTTATAAGGTAAAATATATAATTAAGTAAATATTTCTTAACAATATATTTTAATTTAACACAACTGTAACTATAGAACTGAATATTGAAAAGTTAAAAATTGTATATAAAAACATAGTTCAAAATAAGAAAATACAAAAGGTTTGTCGCAAACAATACCTAAAAAGTTATCTGTTCAAAATTAATATTGTGATAGAAAAATATCTGAATAATTTATATAATAAATATCATAAATAATATATAATATATATAATAAATATCTGAAACGAATATCTATTCAATTTTATGACCGCTGATATTATTTGTAGATATAACTAAATTTACATATTTATGAGATGAACAATAAAAAATGTATAAAAACGTAAATATTTAGTGTTCAATAATGCACGTTGTTGCAACAATAAAAAAAAATATAAAACGTAAATGTGTTATAAAATCTAATACTGTATAAAGATGTTTGGGTTCCGTCCCATGAATTAAATTTAACAATTAAAAAAATCTGTTGAAATACTGACTGAAAGTTTCAAGTCTATATTAATACCTTAATCTCGATTTAGTTAAGATGACAAGTCTCACTCATGTATAGCTGTTCTCGCGACTTCATTCGCGTGGAATTTAACTTTATTTTTCTAAAATAAAAGTAGCCTAAAGAACTAAAAATTATTTTGTTTGTCTTAATTTATTCGTTCCATTAGGTACTGATAGGTTCAAACTAATACATTTACATCCTGCATCATCCCTTATTTTATCCTCATGGGGGTTGAATTTATCAAAATCCTATTTAAGCGAACGTCTTCATCATAGTAGCTCTAATCTGTCGAAAATCTAAGATAATTTATACAAATTTTTATCTCCTATTTTATCGCTTTAGGGGTGGAATTGATCAAAATCCTTTCTTAGGGGATGACTACGTCATAGTAGCTTTATGCATGCAACGTCTCAGCCCAATCGGTTTAAAATTGTCAAAGTTTCATCCCCTATTTTATCCCCTTAGGGGCAGAATTAATCAAAATCCTTTCTTAGCGGATGCCTACGTCATAATATCAACCTGCTTGTTAAATTTCAGCCCGATCCGTCCAGTGGTTTGGGATGTGCGTTGATAAATCACTATGTCCGTCAGTCACCTTTGAGTTATATATATTTAGACTAAAAACTCCTTAATTAATGTTTTTACAAGTTATTTCATTCTTATTAAGAACTAGCTGCACCTGCGACTTCGTCCGCGTGGAATTTAACTTTATTTTTCTAAATTACAAGTAGGCTAAGTTACTCCTTATTACATCGGCTACCTGCCAAAAATTGTCCCGTTAAAATCGGTCCAGCTATTTCAGAGATTATCTGGAACAAACAGTCAGACAAAAATTGTAAAAAATGTTATTTTGGTTTATATACCATATTTATATTCATATTCATGCGTTGAAAACGGTTATTTCAATATTACAAACATACACTCCAATTTATATTATATGTATAGATTGGATTTTATCAATGTTTCTGACACCGGGGAGTCAACCAGAAATATTCATCGTGATAATTGATTTTAGCAGATTTGTACTCACCTAAACTGGGTTAGTAAACATATGTGACATAGTCCATGATGTTCTAAAATAATAATGTTAATAATATCTCAGGATAACTCATACTGCGTCATCTAGTCCCAAGCTAAGTAGAGCTATGGGTACTAGACAACTGACGTAAATACCTGTAATTACATTGATACACTTTTTTTGTAAATACATAATATAACAGAAAACTTCCAAACCGATATAAACTAAATCATCAATCATGAATACAAATGTTTGGAATCAAACTTGCGACCATAGGAAATAAGGCGATGTGCTAAACCGCGAGACCACTGAGGCTATCAATAAGATAATAAAACAAATAAGTAATACGGAATCATATGCAAAATACAATTTACAATTCCCATTTTTTATTAATTGTTTATTATTGAACATATAACGCATAACCTCGTCCACTACAATTAGACTGGTCCATCTTCGTGAATTATTTTCTGATTAAGCAATACCGAACCACGATTTTTGAACAAGAGCATCTTCATATTAATATAGTTCTGTTACTGATCGCATTAGTATAAATATTGTACTTACTATTGAATGTTATCAGTACATATCAGTCCATCTGTGTAGTTGCTTCTCTATTGAAAACATGAAGCTGGTGAGTGCACAAAGAATAATATAACGATGTGATTAAATTGAGTGATAATGGATTATTTAAGTGGTAAATTGGTCGTTATAAAAGTGTTTCTAATAATTTTATCGATTAATAGTGTAATTCGTAAATTAATAACTCTAATTCTATTCAAGAGCATCGTAGCCTAGAAGATTATAAACCTAAAGTTTAAAAGTCCTGATATATAAAATATTTGGCGTCATTATGATTCGATATTACTGATGTCAAATGTGTAATTGTGTAGTGTCGTTTTAAATTGCTTAGTAACTTTATAACTAATTCATTTGATCAGAATGGTGCCCTAGTTATGTATAAACCCAAGGAATGGTGTTCAAAAGTCCTTATGATAAATTATTTGCTGACAGTAATATTCGATATAACCGATGCCAAATGTGTTGTGTCGTTAAAAATTGGCTAGGAACTTTATAACTCTGATTCATTTGATGAGAATCATGCCCATAATTAGTTATTTATAACCCCAAGGAATGAAATTTAAAATTCCTTATGATAAATTATTTGGTGACAGTAATATTTGATATAACCGATGCCAATTTTGTTGTGTCATTTTAAATTACTTATTAGTTTCTGATGATCTATAATGAACTGATACCAAACTAAATTCGTGAGATCATCGTAGGTTCACTTGTCATATTGGATGCTAATATTACTCAGCAAAATGTCAAGCGTTGTATTGACTCCAACATCAACAGTCGACATAGTAATGCCTCTGACTACGCATCTGAGATTAAAGTCGTGGAGTTATATTCTTTATTAGCTTTTGCCCGCGGCTTCACTCGTGTTAATTTATCCCCTTAGGGGTGGAATTAGAATTGGTGAAAATCCTTTCTTAGGGGATGCCTACGTCATAGTATCTTTATGCATGCAAAGTCTCAGCCCGATCGGTTTAAAATTGACAAAGTTTCATACAAACTTTCATCCCCTATTTTATACCTTTAAGGATAGAATTAATCAAAATCCTTTCTTAGCGGATGCCTACGTCATAATATCAACCTGCATGCCAAATTTCATGGTTTGGGCTATGCGTTGATAGATCGCTATGTCAGACAGTCACCTTTGAGTTATATATAATTAGATATTCAAAACTAAACCTCTAATTTCAAATTTCAGTTCATTCTTCTCAGTGTATGCGCTTGGGCCAGAGCTGCCAAATTAGATAACACCTACCTGCCCCCATCTAATGCCGGCACAGCAGGAGGTTCTGGAAACTTCTTGCAAACACCTACAGGCCCATCAGGGCGCAATCAGTTCAGTAACGGAAATAACGTTAACGGAAACAACTATGGGAGAAATGGCGGAAACGGATATAACCAGAACGGAAATGGATTCAACCAAAACGGCAATGCTGGTCAATATGATAATGGTTTTAATAGTTTCGATAACCGTCCAGAACGCGCTCAGGCTGCTTTCGAGAGAAACGCCGCTATTCTCCGTCAGGACAATTCCAACGATGGAGAAACTTATTCGTATGCTTATGAAACGGAGAATGGTATTTATGCTGAAGAAAATGGCGTAGCCACCAATGGTGTTGAGGCTCAGGGTGGATTCTCTTACACTGGTGATGATGGACAAGTTTACAGCATCAGGTGAGTTAATCACATAAATAAAAACGAATTGTTAAATTTATGTAAACACATAATTTCAGAACGTTTACAAATATTTGACTATTTTTTTTAACTGAGTTTGTAATTGTATTAACATGGTTATTAAAAACGATAAGTATAGGTAATATAGTATTGTAGTATTGTTCAATAGTCAAATAAATACGAAAGTATATCTATCTGTCTGTGGGTAATCTTCATAAAACTAATCGACTGAACAGATTTTAATAAAATTTGACATGAAAATAGATATACTACCCAAAGACATAGGAATCTTTCATAACTAAAAGCAGACAAAATTGCAGGTATTAAATACAATTAGTAGATAATATCTTATATTACTCATCAAACTTCTTTGTTCGATCACTTCAATCTTTATCTTATTTAAGATTGCAAGTAATCTTAATGACCTAATTTTAAATAAGACAATAATTCTGTTTGTTCGTCTCAATAACATCAATTGTTACTGTAATGTGTTTGACATTTAGTTTCAAAACAGATTCAACTTAAATTAGATTACAATCTGAACTGTTACTGTTCAGTTAGTCTAATCTATAGAAACATCTATACGAGTTATATAAATGTGTACGCACAACCAGAATTGACACCCGATCTGTCGAGTCGATTTGTTGGATGTTACGAAATTATTTGGGTTAATCATATAGTAGATATTTCTACGGGTACGAAAACTCATTTTATTTAATTACAAACAAGTTTTCGGGCTAACTAATGGTACGCAGTAATGTTTGCCTATATACTTAACTTGCAGGAAGGACATCATATTTCATGTTTTCACTCATGTGTTGCCAAAGGACTGAGATGTTATACCCTTATCCTATAATTCCTCTGCCTAATTATACCCTACAACTTGACATTTATTATATTTCTCCCAATTTAGATAATATCTTTTTAAATTATAGATTATGTGTTGTTCTGATGTATAAAGCTATATTACTGTAAAGTTTCATAAAAATCCGTTCAGTAATTTTTGCGTGAAAGATTAACAAACATCCATTCATACTCACAAACTTTCGCCTTTGTAATATTAGTGAGATACTATAGGTACCGGCGCCCCCGGGCGCCCCTCCGATCGATCTCCCGTCCAATTCAAACGGGGATCGAAATTACGACGGCCTGAGCCGAAGTTCGAACCCTAGTGGTGCACTCAGACTAAAGTCGTATCCGTTGGCCTTCAGCCGCTCCATAAGTCCTTCCGCGGATTTGGAGTACCATCTGCACTCGCCCCCTAACGTCCGGTGAAGCTGTAAAAGCCAGCTGCAGCCAACAGCATTAGAGTAGTCCGAAAAAAAAAACTATAGGTATACATTTATCATCAAACGGGACGTCACCTACTTTTTAATTCATATGATACATTAAACAAATCGTATATTTTATAAAATACAGCGTGTCTTAAACATCAGCCTAAAGATTAATTAATACGTGAATATAACATAATTTAATCGATTAATTACATGACCCATTAGGAATAAGAAAATGATGTGCCAAGGTTCAATGTGATGTACCTATTCTTCACATGTTAATCACGAGCGAAGTACAGAGTTCAAGTTTTAATAACATTATAAAAAGAAAACCTTGACTAAGTGGAGTATTACAAATACCAGTAAATAATTAGATAGTTCTTAATTTTATGAAGGAAAAACTCACAGAGAGAAGCCCGGCATCTTATATTATAAAAACAATTAACTAAGTAACTAAGTGTAATAGTGCAAATAGCACCAGGTCCTAAACAAAGTTGGACCTAGATTTTGTGCAAAGTGTTTTGTATTTGTATTTATTTGGCATCTTTGTTTCACCTTTTTCTGCTGCAAAACAGCTTACAAAGCAAGCTGTTTGACAGTTTCAGTTAAAGGGTAAGAAATTATAAGATATGGAGGCATAACATCTTAGGCCTCCGGACAAGGCAACGCAACGCTTGGGTAATATTATGAAAACAAAGCATCGGAAATGAAGCTGTATCCTGCACCACTAAACCACCAGGATTGTCAATATAATTACTTAACATTTGTTTAATACATTCATTATTTTTGACAGTCTTGATGGGGATTCCTCGAATGATACAAATATTTGTATACATGAATATGATTGTATCGGTCAGCATGTTTTCATATACATATGTGTTTACAAAAATAAATTTAGTTCTCTAGTACCCATAACATAAGCTCCGCTTAGCTTGGGGCTAGATGGCGCTGCGTGAATTGTTCTAAGATATTATTATTACTCTACAGATATACAGCTGATCAAAACGGATTTGTCCCTCAAGGCGACCATCTCCCCACTCCTCCTCCAATCCCTGAAGAAATTTTGAGGGCTTTGGAGCAGAACGAGCGTGATGAAGCAGCTGGCATCTTTGATGATGGTGAGCATATTATTTATTGTATTTATTATTAAACGAGCAGTTAAATTATGTTAACTAGTTAATTTACTATCTTAGAAAATACTTATATTTAGTAGTTAGGTCAAGTAACTTTAGTAGGACTTTCATTTCAATTAAGTGCTCCTATATTTCACGTCCCGAATCTTATATATAAAATTCTGGTGTCACAGTTTTCGTTCCCATACTCCTCCGAAACGGCTTGACCGATTCTCATGAAATTTTGTGAGCGTATTGAGTAGGTCTGAGAATCGACCAACATCTATTTTTCATCCCCCTAAATGTTAGGGATAGTCCACCCCTAAATTTTTGTTTTTTATTTTAAGGCAAAACAACGTTTGCCGGGACAGCTAATTTCAATATATGAATTTCAATAAAAATATAGCCAATGTGTTATTTTGATATATAATATAAGTTATATTACTGTAAAGTTTCATCAACAGCCGTTCAGTAGGGTTTGCGTGAAAGAGTAATAAACATCCATACTTACAAACTTTCGCGTTTATAATATTGTAATAGTAACTATTAATGTACATTAATGTCTACGGTTCATATTTATTTTTTTATATTTAGGCATATAAAAGACAGCTAGTCATCTATATATGTCCGATTTATTTATTTATTATTATATATATTTATTTATAAATTCAGTGCCAGATAATTAAGTGACAATTAAAAAAAAACTAATGAATATTTGTTCATAATTAACCAAGATTTTGTGTGACAAGAATAAATTACTATTTCAGTATATTACCTTTTGAACCTGTTCGTTATTTCTAGTATCATACTAATTTCATTAATATATATAAACATTCTGTAATCTCATTTTGTCACTATGAGTATTACATACTACAATGTTTACAATAACTACTATATTTGTAATAAATTAATGAATTAAAAATTTTTTACAGGATCCTACAACGAAGCTAAATACGGCAGCGGCGACCAGTACAACGGAAACAATTACAACGGTAATGGAAACAATTACAACGGAAACGGAAACTTCAACAGCGGAAACAACTACAACGGAAACGCGTACAACAACTATCAGGGCGATGAAGACAGCGTGGTCACTACCTCTGCTTTATTCCGTAACAGCGCTAGACAACAAAACAACAACGATAACGTGAGGACGGGTGGCTCTAATGGAAATGGTGTTAACAATGCCTATTTGCCACCTACATCGAGAAACGGAAACAGAAATAACGGAAACGGTTTCGGTACCAGAAATCGTCAGCCCACATTCAACGAACGCGAAGGCTACAGATTCTAATCAATGATTGTTTTATAAATTTATTTGTTTGTATATATTTATCAATAACATGATATGCCTTTTTTTATTTATAGAGCCCTTATAATATTAGTATAAATAAATACCACATAATGACACCAATTTTATGATCCCCAAGATGGGATCTTCTGAAATATTAAGGCAAACACATATCTATGGACCTCGATGGAAAAGTTCAGGTGATATGCAAAGCAAATACATTAATGTACATTAACAGTTACTATTACAATATTATAAACGCGAAAGTTTGTAAGTATGGATGTTTATTACTCTTTCACGCAAACCCTACTGAACAGCTGTTGATGAAACTTTACAGTAATATAACTTATATTATATATCAAAATAACATATTGGCTATATTTTTATTGAAATTCACATATTGAAACTAGCTGTCCCGGTAAATGTTGTTTTGCCTTAAAATAAAAAAACAAATTTAGGGGTGGACTACCACTAACATTTAGGGGGATGAAAAATAGATGTTGGCCGATTCTCAGACCTACTCAATACGCTCACAAAATTTCATGAGAATCGGTCAAGCCGTTTCGGAGGAGTATGGGAACGAAAACTGTGACACGAGAATTTTATATATAAGATATATCGCGGGTGAAACCGCGGCACAGCTAGTTTAAAATAAGACAAAAAAAATCCTAATAAAATGTATATTAAAAATTTAGATAGCCTCGGTGGTGTAGCGGTTAGCATACTGCTTTACTTCCGATGTTCGCAGGTTCGATTCTCATGAAGTATTTGGTATTCGAGAGTTTAATAATTTGTATCGGTTTGGGTGTTTTCTTTGTATGTATATTATATATGTATTTACAAGAAAAGCTCTGTTTAGTTTGAGACAAGAAATGAAATGCCAGGAATATTATTATTAGTGTTATCATAATATTAGTAATATCATATCATAACAGATAACATAATATTGTATATCTATATATATAAATAAATTTGGAGTGTCTGTTTGTAATATTGAAATAACCGTTTTTTTACTACATGCATATGAATATAAATACGGTGCATACACCAAAATATAATTTTATACAATTTTTCTCTGTCTGTCTGTTTGTTCGGGCTTATTTCTGAAAAGGCTGGACCGATTTCGACGGGACTTTTATTGGCAGGTAGCTGATGTAATAAAGCTTCTTTTATTTTAGTAAAATAAAGTTAAATTTCACGCTACAGTGTACAGCTAGTGTATTACATATTTAAAGCTATATGTACACATTTTGCCTTATTTTAAAGTGACGTATTCCATCCACATAAGTGATGCAACTCGCATGACAATAAAACTGATAACTGATATTCATCAGGTTGACCTCCACGCGGTTCCGCTGACCTGACTTCATGCTCATCTTATGATCTTCTACTGGTGCCCCGCCAGCCATTCCATTATCATCCACAAAAGGACTATCCTCTTCCACCCGGGGCTGCACTACAAAATTAAATGTACACCGGCTACATATGGTACCGTCACCTGGACCAGCTGCTGTCGGCACTCTCCATCTAGGCTAGGAGGAGAAACTGTTTATGCATTAATGCACACTTAAACTTAAAAATGTAAAGTAATAATAAAATTATTTAAAAGAGCAACACTCTTGCGATGTGCTTTCTGAATGAGCGGTAGATTAAAAAAATGTAATGACTATTCAAAAGTGCTTCAATGTAAGTTTATTTGAATAAATTGTTTTCTATTCTATTCTATTCTATTAATCTAGGTAACCAGTTAATAAACAATACAAATAATAATAATAAGAATCTCAAGACAATTAACACCATCCACACTAGCGCCATCTAGATCCAAGTTAAGCTAGCTAAACCTTGTTATGGGTACTAAATAACTGACACAAATACATAGATACATTTTTTCGTAAATATATACATATTATACATAGAAAACACCCAGACGGATACAAACAATCATGAATACAAATGTTTGTGCCGTGCAAGGAATCGAATCCGCGACCATCGAAAGTAAGACGGTGTGCTAAACCGCTAGACCACCGAGGCTGTCAAATTAATTTAATATTTATTATTAATATTATAGTGTTATATACAATATAACACCCCCAATTACATTGAGGGTGTTATATATATATAACACCCTCAATGTAATTTGGGGACGTGAAATAAATACATCAGCTGTAAAGATGTACAATAGAGACGGACACGTGAATGCAAATGACTTGAGTGTAAAGACACTTTATTCTTTTATAACGTCAAAAGATTTCATTCATAAATGACTTAAGAGGCAGTCCTTCTCTGCATTGTTACTTTTATTTAATACTAGCTGTTTCCGCGACTGGAATTTACCTTTATTATTCTAAAATAAAAGTAGCCTGAGTTACTCCTTATTACATCAGCTACCTGCCAAAAACAGCCCCATCAAAATCGGTCCAGCCATTTCAGAGATTAGCCGGAACAAACAGACCGACAGACAGACAGACAAAAATTATAAAAAATGTTATTTTGGTATATGTACCGTATATATATTCATATGCATGTAGTAAAAAACGGTTATTTCAATAACAAACAGATACTCCAGTTTTATTTATATGTATAGATAGCGTATGTATAATATAATAAAGAAATTTATATTTCAATTCATAATATTGGTTAATATAATATATAAACTAATATTATAAATTCGAAATACATGTGTCTGTTTATTACATTTTCACGACTAATCTTGCAAAAAATACCAAATTTTAATAGTTCTAACTAAAAGGCGTAAAGATAGATTGTTTGTATGGGAATGGATATCCATTCCCATATATATATCTCATATATCCCATATAATAGATAGTGTATATACACTATCTATTATATAAAAAAACAAATGAAGTCGCACGGAACAGTTATTAGAAATAGCAGAGAGGGTGGACTCACTCACTGAGTTATAGACCGTCTTGTCTCATTCATTAGTTTTGAATTATATTATTGTATGGGCAACAGTTGTATTGTGTAAAAAGTTTCTGTTTGAGACAAATAAAGATTATTATTATTATTATTATTATATTATTATATTTTTAATTTGAAATTAAAAACCAGTTCGGACCTATTTATATGTTTAATCGTATGTATAATTAAAATGAATAAGTTTTTATACTGATTTTTTATTTCTTCTGGATCAGTCTATAATATTAATTTCGGTTTATTGTTATTGTGTCGTAATTAGTATATTTATTACAAACCATGCCTACCCACAACTTCATATGCGCGGAATTTACCTTATTTAATTTAACCTAATTAAAATTAAAAAAAAATAAGAGAAAAGTGGCCTAAATTACTCCTTATAACAATACCTATCTGCGAGTGAAAGTCCTGTAAAATTGGTACATCAGTTTCAGAGACTATCGTCCGTTTAGCAAATACAAACAAACGTATAGACAGAAAAACAAACAAACAAAAAATTTATCAGACGAAAATTTAAAAAATTATTTTCTGATGTAAGTAGCCTTCCTTACATAACAGCTTACATACTTTTATATCCATTTAGTGAAAAGCTGTATTTGAAATTACAAATGGTCACTGTTATTTTATTTATTTGTACCGATAGATATAACAAAATAAATATAATATAATATAAATATAACTATAGAATTATTTTTTATAGTAGATTTTTATATATACAGATTTTACGTGTAATTCTATTAATTATTAGTTTTAATATAAAACTGAAAGTAAACTACCGTTTGTCACCAGACGTTCGTTAAATTATGTCTAATTATTATTCATTAAGTATCATTATCTGCAGAACCTCGTTGACCAACAATTTCTATATTTTATATTTTAATATTATAATAAAAAAACTAGTGAGTACTGTGCCTTAAAACAAGTTCACAGTTCAGGGACCTCAAAAACTAATTACAAAAGACAATGGCGGATGGCGGTCATCTCGAATCGAGACGATACCGAGCCTCGTCGTGTTCCACTCGACCTCTTTTATAATAACAATGAGACGTCGCATCATATATCGATACATCGGCCGAAATATCGATTAGCAGATTAAACAAATATTATTAGGATTTGCTAACAAGTTTGGTATATACATATTTTGACTAGCCATGTCCGCGACTTCGTCTGCATGGAATAGTATTGGATATCATAAAGTTCAATTATCTAGCCCAAAAAAAGCTAAAGGAAAATGTTCCATTATTCGTCAATAATGATGAGTTTCCATACAAACCATTTTCTTTTTTCATTCCATATTTTATTTTAAGGGTAAATTTTACACAAATTTTAAATGTCATATTTATTTATATTTAATCAACAGCCTAAAAAATGAATTTCAAGCTTTCAGATTTAAAAATGACGATACTGCCATACAACTTTATCAACTCGCTTTCCACCCCTTATAATTCGTTTTACACATTAAAAAGTAGTTTATATCATTTCTCAGGGTCTAGATTATCTGTGTTCTAATTTACATTTAAATCGGTTTAGTTTTGGAGTGAAAGAGCGACAGACAGACGGAGTCACTTTCCCATTTGTAATATTGGTAAGGACTGCAGAATATAATACACGTTTATATAACTGATATTATAAATAAACTACAATGAAAATAAATCGCCTCCTATATAAATAATGTATGTAAAGAAAAGGAAACAAAGAGTAGTCATTACAAAATAATTAGTCGTTTGGTAAAGTGTGTTTATGTTTTACAAAATGACTAATCATTTTGTAGAGGAACTGCTTTTTCGGATTACTTATAATATGTGATCTATACGATTTTTGGTGAACGTGTCAGATGATATGTACTGTAAATTCTTCATCATCATCATCGTCATCAGCCCACTACTGTCCATTTCTTCATAACTATTTCTATTTTTTTAAGACATACAGCAAATATTTAGAATGGCTGATCCAAAAGGAATGGAGTTTGAAGGTTGATAAGAATTGATAATCGCTGATCAAGAATTCTAATAATTAATTTGATTTATTTATCGTTATATTAATAAGTGAAACAAAACTTTTATACTCCTTATGAAAATTGAGCGGACGGCGGAGTATAAAATAAATATATATATTTATACACTTCTAATAAAATATGTTATACAAAAGGAGTGTAGAATGATGATATTTTTAAAAAATATGTATAAAATACAAAAAATAAAAAATAAAATAAAAAAACATTACTCACACTACCATGTAGTTGACACACACACACATAGATGTATAGTATCATTACATTGTATAAAATAAAGTCGCTGTCTCTGTCTGTCCGTCCCTATGTATGCTTAAATCTTTAAAACTACGCAACGGATTTTTACACGGTTTTTTTTAATAGATAGAATGATTCAAGAGGAAGCTTTATATGTATCCCCGGGCGAAGACGGGGCGAGTAGCTAGTTTAACAATATAACTTAATGATGTATAAATTTATTTATATGAATTATAGTCGTATTTGGACCATTGGGCGACTAGTAAGATTAAATACTTTAAATAACTCCTGAATATTAAAAAAAATCCAAAACATTGTAGCTAAGAAGATTAATCCGCTTACAAACAAAATAAAACCGTATTATAATCGGTTATATAGATATTACAATTAAGTCTTCTTAATGAGTTATCTATAATTTTAGAAGTTTTCGTTTAATTGGTATGGTACTGAATATGAATCTGAGTTTCTGATTCCAGCTGTAAAGTATGTCACATGTTTGCTTCATAGACGGAGAAGCAGATATAAAAAAATACATATTTTGTATTAATATATTTTTACTTTATTCACATTATTTAAATATTTATCATTACAGGGATGATGAAGGTCGTCCGTGACCTTCATCATCCCTGTAATCCCTGATGAAATTTGTAATAGCATTGAAATATCGGGAGTTCATAAATCCCATTTATGGAATGAGTACAATTGTAAACAATCGTAAAAAAAGTATTTAAACTATGTTTTTATTTTAATAACAATTAAATAACAAATATTAATCTATATTTTAAATATCTGATATAATTTTTAAATGATTAAAAAAGTATAGTGAATCCAATACGAAAAAACAGAATTATTTTAATGTTTGCTATAATCTCAGAAATTACTGAACTCATTTTCAACTGGTTCATTCATTAACAAAGCGATTTCTTAGGAAGATTTACATTACAGGTATTATAGGTTAAGGTTTTGTGTAAATTAATTGAAATACCCGTTTATATGAAAGACTACTGCTTGATGCTTTAGATCTCCATTACTAGGACAAATAGTCCTGTCTTCTTCCTATATTTGTCACCAATTATTACACTGGCGATCACATAAAAATGTCAAGGTTGGATAATTTCCATATCATGATCAATGCCCAACAATACAATGATGAAATAATAAAATAAACACTCTTAATAACTTGTTCAGGCGCTTGACAGCAACAATTAGGGTTTTGTCACGCTGTACGTCCATCTGTCACGTCCACACGTACGCCCAAATAGTCATTAGAGGTTAATTTTAGAGTATAAATAACATTTTTTGATTAGTGAAGACACACATCTCAACTGAATCCTGAGGAGGATACATCGACAAAGATGAAGATGTTTCTGGTGTGTATAGTTATAGTGGCATCAAGTGTAAAGTGCAATAAATATTTGAAGTGATTTCATTAGAGACAAACAAATCAAATAACAGAAAAAAAAACAGTTTTAGCTCTCGTTTAGTGGTTCTTAGTTTGTGTTTGTAAGTGAAAGTGGAAAACAATAGTAATCATGCATTTTCTGTTGCAGTTAATTTTGGCCATAGGCCTTGTGAGTGCGGAGAAATTGGACCGGACTTATTTACCTCCACCGGGTGCAAAATTTTCCGGGGGAAGTCCTGGAGATATTCAGACACCATTGGAATTCCCTAAGGAGACTTACTCGACAACATTGAGACCGCAAAGCTTTGGCGACCGGATCCATCCAGACCAATCAGTAATTGGAATAAGTCATGGATTACCAACAGTACCTCAAGGGGCAGGAATACCCTCAGATTTTGGACATATTGTTTCAACTTCTAAACCGGCATATGACTTACAAAGTTCATACAAATTGCCAACAACGACCACATCTTACGCCTTTTCACAAACTACCACTCACCCTCCTGTGGAAGGCTTAGAAAATACAGTTGGTCCATTCGGTCTTGTAACTTCTGGGTTTCCAACAACACCTTTTCCTGACTTCCCAACTACTGCATCTCGTCTATTTACGGTACCTCATTCACAACAAGGAGAGCAAGTTATTCCAGGATATCAATCATCCGAGAATATTCCACAACCTGGTCAAGTTCCAACCCTTAATGGTAATTTACAATACACAGGCTCAGTATCTCCATCTCTAATGCCTGTTGGACAATCCAATATTGGACTAAACCGCCCTGGCTATTCTGTAGGTCAGCGTAATCAATACCAACAGGCGCAACAACCTAATGTTAATATTCTTCCTGGATCTAATGTGCAAGTACCCGGATCAGTATCTCAATTACCTAATTCAGAAGTTCAAAACTCTAATCAGTATCAAGAATTTTCAACAAGAGTTCCGAATATTGGTCAACCTGGTTATCAATCCACTATTCCAACTGCCACGTCGCCTGGAACTACTTATGGTAATAATATTAATACTGTTCAAGGTCAAATTGTACCTGGCAGAAATATTCCACAACCGAATTTGACTATTGACAAACAAACAATAACAGGTGAAAGTGATTTATCTAGACCTGGCACACAATTAATTCAGCGACCTGGACAACAGCAATACCAAGGTTATACAGAAGGAAGTTTCCCATCAGGACAAGATTTGAATAGTGGTAGTGGAAAACCTGGGTTTACAGACGGAAGTTTACAACAAAATATATATACACCTACTTCTACAGTCTCTTCAGTTAGTCAGGTATCTGATTTTTCCAGTACACCCGGTTTCCAAACAGGAAGTTCAACGTTACCAGATGGATCCCTATTTTCAGAAACTCCAACAGGTATTAATCGCGGAATCATTCCAACTGCGTCAGTTAATCGTCCGGAAAGACCACAAGCAGAATCCGATAGAAACGCTATTATTCTTAATTATGATAATACTTTAACACCAGAAGGGGAATTTGCATACAGTTTTGATACTTCAAACGGCATTCATGCAGAGGAGAATGGAACATCAGTAGATGGTGTAAAAGCCAAAGGTGGATATTCCTATATTGGTGATGATGGAAAGCTATACAGTATCGTATACTCAGCCGATGAAAATGGTTTTCAACCCCATGGAGATCATTTACCAACACCTCCACCAGTACCTGAAGCTATCCAAAAAGTTATAGAACAAGCTTACAGAAATAAAGAAGCTGGAATAATCGATGATGGTAAGTACTTAAATTGTATTGAAACTAAAATATAACCGAATATTTTCATTATGTCAATTAATGAATCTTGTAATAGGTCATCAAAAGTCAGTTCATTGTAATTTAGGTTAATGCTAGAAAACATCAACAATTACCTATTTTATTTATTCAAATCATTATACTTATTGATTTTATACGTTGCGGTATATGATTTTTGTATTGTACGTATATCTATAATTGTGCTGTATCTATAATTATCGCAACATATAAAACACTTCCTGTACACCATATACCACAATATTCAAATATTGTTTATTTTTCAGGAACTTACGATGAAGACAAATATGGACATAATAAATATCAAGGTATTATGAATCGCCCTTACCGTCCTTATGGAATGAATAAAAATATTAACAAAGTTGGAAATGTAGAAAATTTAGATATAAATCGTTACAAAGATGATGGCGAAATAACCTCAATTGAAAGCGAAGATAAATACAGTCCTAGTGCCGAAGAATTTAGTGAAGATTCAAAAGCCGTTAATGTAGGCGACAGACGTCGGCCTGGCAGTATGACGTCCTCTAGACGTCCGGTAACCCACTTAACAGCAGAGAAAGGCGATGTAGGTAATCAACAAGTATATGAAAATTTACCTGAAAATGAATATAACCATCGGAGACCAATTGACACAATTCCCCAACGGCGACCTGCAAATCGTATCCCAGAAAATAGTAAAATTGAGAATTATCAAGACAATAATTTCAATACTAACAAAAAATATCCTACAGGAGAAGTACCTTCAAGACCTTCTTATACGAAACAGCCCATTGATATTGATACATCTGATTATAAGGAAGATTTTGTGGATAATGCAAATAGTCAAATAGATGTTGGAAATATGCCCCTAGGACGTCCATCTAATCAACAATACGGTAATCAGAACTATAATAATGAGAGACGACCAATGACTGAAATTCCATCTAGACAACCAGATAGCCGATTTATGAAAATGTTAAATGTTAATGATAGAGTAAATGAAAATAGTGGACCAGATTACACAAAACAAGGACAGTCACGTCCAATCGAAACAGGAAGGATTAGGACTCAAATGTCTAATAAAGTATACCCCGATTCTGTTAGGTATCCATTAAATCGTCCCAAAAGTGATAAATATGCTGCTTCTCAAGCAGAAGATATTCTAGAGAATGTAGAACAGACTGAAGATTTCGGTGATATTACCACAGATGTTCCTATAGTACGTGGTCGTTTACCTTCAAAAGTACCTAGTGCCGAATACAGTGATTCTGGTGATAATGTTGATAAATCAGTATCACAAAGCCGGTTACCCTACAGGCAAGAATCCATAACTACTAGACCAGAGACTTCAAAACGTCCTGGATTATATAGTAGATATAATCAAACTACAGTTAGTCCACAAACGTCTTCAACATATACACCTGAACCCACGCGTTACAACAAATTTGATGAAAATTACACAACGCGATCTCCAATAACTCAGAATGGAAAACATACAATATTTCAACAGCAGCCTATTGTTACTAACTTACCTTCTAGTCAAAAAGAAACTGGTTATCAGTATCTACCACCACAGAAGAAATTTGAGCAAACTGCAAGTAAATCTCCTCTTCAATTACAAGAAGTAACAAAAACACCTTCCAACTATTACGGAAATAAAGACGGTGAAATAAATATAAAACCCTTTACAACACCCAGCGTGAGTCGTGATGAAATACAAGACAATGACTATGATCACTATCCAGAAGAAGAAGAAGATCACGGTTCATCTGTTATCACTAAACCAAACTTTAAGCCTATTTTAAATCAAAATCAACAAACGTCATTTACTCAGCAAAAATATCAGAATTTAAATAAAAATAATGGTCCAGAATATAACGGGCAAGAAGGAACACCTTACAGAGACGATGGCAATAGAGATACTCAAAATATATATTCAGGACAAACTAATATACAGGCAGGTACTTCCCGTCGTCCTTCTTACCAAGGAACACAAACAACAAGCAGACCACAGCAATTCCGTCCTACAGTAAATGTTGAAACAGTACAAGATATAAGAAAACAAAGGCCTGGCCAAGATAATTACTTTGTTGAAAAATATGCAGACAAACCTAAAGATTCATTTGGATTGACGCCTTCAACTGCCTCAACGCCAATTCAGAATACATTCATTAAGATGACCAGTGCAGGAATTCAAAGACCTGGCCAAAACATCCAGGTAAATGATGCAGAAAGCAGCAAGCGTCCAGGTCAGCAGGAGTATGGATTTACTACTAAAATGCCTTCTCAATATTATTACACTACTGAAGGTAATAAAAATATTCCATCAATCTCGCAGAAAACTACATACCGACCACTGGGAACCACAGCTTCTGAAATAGATAACTATTCCAATACCTCAGATTTTGGAACAACATTGAAACCAGCATCAAAATTACCTGGTAGATTCAGCACTCCTCAAGGCCAACTTCCTAGTACCACCTACAGACCTCCATTTACGTTTACAGAAGGTGTAAATGAACAAGTTGATGATATTACACCTGGTTCGAATAAAGTTAACCAATACAATCAAGGAATTGAAAGCACTTCAACATACAGACCTAATTATGTGGGACAAGATATAGTTTCTAGTAAACCAGTATACCAAAGTTCTGATGATAGAAAAACCACGGAATATAAGCCAGGCGTTGATAGATTTGAGACTCCCGTAAACTTCCCCATAAAAGGAGTTCCATCCACGGCTGCACCATACAGAATTAGGCCAACAACACAAAAGGTCATCGGTGAAGATTTCTCTGGACCCAAACAGGCCCAAAAATTCGATCCGAAGTATGGATATTATTATTGATAGTATCAATGAGTTCTATTTATTCAAATTTAATTTATTATTCGCAAATAAAATGTACAAAAAATAAAGATATGTGACAATTAAGTTTTCTTTTTATTTAATGCTAACGGAGAGTAACCATATAGTATACATATATAGTATCTATATATAATCAGTTATGTTATATAAGTGATTAATCATGCAGTAAATATAATTCATTCCTTCAATTACATCACATTACATCACAGTCGTAGAATATATCATTACTGTTGCTAAGGAACAGTAGAATGGTAGAACCACAGATAATATAATATTACATAGTAGAACAGTATTAATTTTAAATGCGATGCATTGCAATTTGTATCAATGTCCTTAATATGGTCCTTTCTTTTATTACATTTTAAAACACATTAAATTTAAACAACGTACATAATATATTGCAGTCCAAAACTAAACTCCTTTAAAGTTATTATAAATTAACTATAGCACTAGTTACTAAAATTAAGGTTATTCGTTGATAATACATTTTTCTACAGAAGTAAGTTATTCGTATTTTTGATTTTATCTGTCAAAAAAATCAAATCTCTTTCAAATGAAATCAAAATATCTTGTTTATTCACAGACATAATCATTGTTAGAAATAATCTTCTTCATAGACAGTTATGATTAGTTAAATCTACAGTCACTTTTGAATGTAGTTTGAGAAGAACTGATTGGAAACTCTGCTCTGACTCTTTTCAAATGAGATAAATATTATTTTAATTATTAATATTTATTGTTCCACTTCTTCATCTCTTTCATTTGCTTTTCCACTGCATTATCTCTGTTATTAATTATTTATCTGTAATTTTAGTATCGTTTAGAAAAGACATACTAATGGTAGCGAAATTTGGTTTTTATATAGTCCTGGAAAGAAGAATTTACAATCAAATTCCACAGAAATAGAAATAGAAATAATCATTATTCATATAAATTTAATATAAGCACTTTTGAATAGTAAAGTTTTTTGATTCTACCGCTCATTCACAGAAATAAGTCTACGGCTCACAAAGATTACTTACATGACAAATGTGCAAGGTTGTTACTCATGGGACTCATTCATAATGTTTTTTATGGATGATAATGTAATGGTGCACCTGCCTGCGCTAACGGTTTACGCTTACGGGGCACCAGCGGAGGATGATAAGATGAGCATGAGGTTAGGTCAGTTAGCCCATCGTGACAAATTCAACAAGAATTTATCACGATGGTTTCCAGAGAGAACCGCGTGGAGGGCAACCTGACAAAGTGCATTGCTAGCAATGGGGTTATCAATCCACATTACTAACAATTCCCTTCCCCCCACTAAATTACAGTTTAGTATAACAGTACTATTCTTCCTATTGTTAGGACTATGTACCATGACAGATCGCCTTCAGGGGGAAGGGGTATACGATTATTAGTGTACTTTACTAACAATAGTAAAGTGTACTAATAATCCTATTACTAACAATGTACCATGGCAGATTAACCTCCCTACAGTTCTTCTTGGAAATCATCTAGATAAATGCCTAGTGTTTTGTCAGACTATAACAAATATATAAGCGGCTAAATTAACTAACCGGTTTGACCTCATGCTCATCTTATCATTCACCACTGGTGCCACTCCAGCGTAAACCGATAGAGCAAGCGGTTGTATTATTCCAATAACATCCATATTGGGGAGTTTGTCAGTAAACCATCACCCTTATCATTCATTCACTCATTGGAAACCATCGTGATAAATTAATAGTGAATTCACCACGATGTGCTAACTGACCTGACCTCATACTTGTCTTATCATCTTCTACCGGTGATCCGCCAGCGTAAACCGTTAGCGCAGGTGGGTGCACCATTTCATTATCATCCTCTAAAAAAGAATAACATCCATAAAAATAGATCGACTTCCTTGCGGTTGCTCCTAGAAACCATATCCACCTATAGTGCTAATTAAAAAATAGCGACGAATCGCGCGTAACAAGTAATTAATAGGTGTTTACTAGTAACTACCATTTGACATACTAGATGGCGCTACTAGTCTATTGACCATAACTTTCCGCAACAACACTTTTTTAATATTAAAATATACCATATATAAATCTTTAAAACTACGCAACGGATTTTGAAGCAGTTATATTTAATAGAGCGATTCAAGAGGAAGGTTTACATATATAATACATGTACACCCGGGCGAAGTCGGGGCGAGTAGCTAGTAATATATATTTTTAAAATACATTCAGCACCTCTATCTACCACGTCAAATACCAAAAGTAAAATTAACAAAATTAGTAAATTATAACTGGTAATGAAAAATATTAAATTGGAATCTATAAAAGGAAGTATGTAGTAATTAAACGAATAAAATTAAGCATTGAATAAGTACTTTAAAGTTTACGACTAATCTAAACAAAAAATTTAGAAAGCGCCATCTAGTGTTAATTTACAGTAACTTTTGACTCTTTGATTAGCAACCACACACATCGGTTTAGAAGTATAATACTAAGCAACTAACAACATATGGACTCAATAGATGGCGCGCAAATAATGGTGTAGGAACTCTGTAAATAATATTTTAATTACTTCATGGGGTAATGATTAACTACACTGACATACATTCAAAAAGGTCTTAAGTTCAAATCTGGCGAACAGAAAAAAGTGTCAGCTTATTTTTCTGAATGACTAACCGCTGAAGGAAACACCGATAACAAACGCAAAAATTAATCTGAAAGACGGTTGTGGTCTCTTCCATGCTGAATTCCAATATACCCAACGAAATGTGACCAAGTCTTTCGTTTTATGGAAAACGCATTTTCCTTTTACGTGTAATTCTATAACAAAAATATTGAAGAAAAAAAAATTGTCAAACAGTGTCAAACGCTGATTTTAATAGCCTTATCCTAAACAAAGTTTCATTGTGTTTAATTAGTTATTGTAAAAAAATTTCATAGTACCACTTTTTGTATAGAGAGAGGACCCCTCTGACTGATTCAAACGGGTATCAAAATTACGACGGCCTGAGCCGAGGTTCGAATCCCGACTAAAACTGTCGGTGCCCTTCAGCCGCTCTATAAAGCAGATCTGTCACTCGCTATCGTCCGGTGAAACTGTAAAGGACAGTTGCGGTCGATAGCATTAGAGTACATAGTTCGAAAAAAAGGAGAGAGGGCTGAGATAGTGTATATGTATTCGCATACATAAGAGATAAGACATGAATACATATATAAATATCTTCCTCGTATATTTAATATTTTCTCAGGTTTAGGTATTACATCAACTTAAAAACAAGTAACCATCTGCAAGACGCAAATTTCATGATATTTAAATCTAATGAAGAATCTTTTTTTTAAGTCAGTTTATATTATTTATTTTCAGTATATAGTGGATCTATATACTGAACTGGACGGTATGTATAGTGGATCTATATACTGATTATGAAGAACTTTTTTTTTTAAGTCAGTTTATTTTCAATGTATACTTATATAGATGTCTATGTCTAACATCTTGCTCATTCTTCTTGTGAAGAGACAGCATTTCGAATGAGCGGTAGATTGAAAAAAAAATGTGCTGACTATTCAAAAGTGCTTCAATGTAAATTTATTTGAATAAATGATTTTCTATTCTATTCTATTCTATTCTCGCACACTGTATACACGTGCTAAGCAAGATCGGGTCACTGATTCTGTAATATAAGTTCGTTAATTTGATTTTTTTGCACGTTTTTTATAACTTTCATAGAATCCGAGTTAAGCCCTACCTACGAACAAAAAAGTAATCAATATTTTTAGTACAAATGTAGGTATCTCGTATGTTACACGAGCTTGTATTAATAGCAGTTTTTGTTCGTCTGTGTTTTTGTTTGTCCCTAATGGACTCAGGTCAAGGGGTCCATACAGCATCCGGATATTACGTGTCAAAGTCAAGGTTAATCATAGACACCATTAGTTGATCTGACCATTTATCTTGCAAATACTCATAAATTATTAAAAAACTAATTGGTTTCTACGTTTGAGTTTAGCGATGAACACTTTAATTGGTTTGGCGATTTGTTAAATTTTGCAATCCTTAACTAAATATGTCTAAATATATATAACTCAAAGGTGACTGGCATAGTGATCTATCAACGCACAGCCCAAACCACTGGACGGATCGGGCTGAAATTTGGCATGCAGGTAGATGTTATGACGCAGGCATCCGCTAAGAAAGGATTTTGATTAATTCTACCTTCAAGGGGATAAAATAAGGGATGAAAGTTTGAATGAAAATTTGTCAATTTTAAACCGATCGGGCTAAGACTTTGCATGCATAAAGCTACTATGACGTAGGCATCCCCTAAGAATGTTGATAAATTCCACCCCTAAAGGGATAAATTAACGCGAGCGAAGTCGCGGGCAAAAGCTAGTTATAATATAAACTATGAGTTTATTATTCTGTCTACTAAATTACTAGTCCCATTACGATGAAATCTCAGATCATTTGTATAACATATTTTTTATATAAACTGTTATATACCTACTGTATAGTTTTTTATTGTAATTTTTTTTTACACTTTAATGTCTTGATAATCGTTCCTAATATCTCCGTATTTCAAGTCTTCTCTATATTTTATTTCTACCTATATGCGTATAAAATAGATTTACAATATAAATCACCCTAAAAAAAATCTTATCGATTAGACGTGCTTGATGGTCTAGCGGTTTAGCACACCGCTATACTTTGCATGGTTGCAGGTTCGATTCCTCGCATGGTACCAACATTTGTATTAATGAATATGATTGTCTGGGTGTTCTCTATGTAGATAATGTATGTATTTACAAAAAAAGTTTCTATGTAATTATATTAGTTATCACACAATCTCTGCTTAACTTAGGACTAGATAACATGTGAATTGTCCAGGGTAATTATTATATTATTAGGATTCTACGCAGCTAGGTGAAGCGACGACATACGTAGAGTTGTGGGTAATAATTGGAAGAGAAGGGCTGAAAATCGTGCCCAGTGGCGTG